CCGGCTGTTGGGGCGGACCGGTTGGGTGCCTCTTGATCGGTCCAGGAGAGACCGGTTCACTTACGGGCATTAACATACTCTTTTCAATTGAGCCTGTTTTTAAGCTTCCTCATAATCAGTGCCTACTCGTTTTAAATACAAGAAACAAAAATTTTTGGGTGGTGAGTTGCATTCTTGCTTGTAAAGGCTACTGGGTGTAGCTCTTGTCATCAACTTTACCGAATTCTGATATAGAAGAATATGCCATCCAAGAATTGCTGAAGTTATCTGCTTTGCGTCTGGTCCATGCTTAAATTCATATGCTTGAACATATAGTTAATGAAGCACGCATCTTGCTTGTAAAAGCTACTGGATTTAGCTCTTGTATGAACTTTACCCAATTCTGATATAGAAGAATATGCTATTGAAGAATTGCTGGAGTTATCTGCCTTGTGTCTGGTCCATACTTTAGTTCATCTTCAACATATAGTTAATGAAGCATGCAGTATAACCTTATTGTGCAACTTTAAATTTTTTCCTTCATATTCCGTAACTGGTGTACCGCCAACGTTTATTGCTGTTTTATTTTAGTAATGTTGTTTTACTGATGCTTCTCTTATGTTCTGTCAATAAAATGGGTAGTTTCCTGCGTGATATCTGGCTCTTTGTTACTCACTGCTCATTTTTTCCTGATTATTTTGCAGGGCTTTCTCTGAAATCTCAGGAGTTGATGGCATTGTTTTTGGTGCTCAAAATTTATTATAGTTACACGAACTTTGATGTACATACAATACTCATTGCGGCCACATTGATAACAACTTTGTGGGTTGTCTATATGATGCGTGTTTTCTTGAAATCAAGTTACATGGTGCATGAGGACAACTTTCCAACGCATTATCTGGTAGCTCTTACATTTTACATTATGTTATGTTCTCAAAAGAATGCATACATGCTTTTTATGTTTTTTTACCACTTTTGATATGACATTTGTACATTCTCTTTTTTTTTTTTTAATTTAGGCAAGTATTATGCTATAAGATTCTTGAATTTGTGGAGTCCTCTGTAGAATCATATAATTTATCACCATAGACTAGGCAAATGAAAATTTTTTACCGGTCTGCTGCTATTCATATATCCTTGAGTTTAGTTAATGAAGAAAATGAATAAATAAACTTTCGTTGGTTTGTCAAATTTATTGATTTGCAGTTTGGAGATGTGTATTTTAAGTTTTTCTTTCCCCCTCTTTATTTTTCATATTTCATTTCTTGGAAATGAAACTATAATTTATCTTTTACAAAACCTAAGCTGAAAATGATAATTTGAACTTTTTTTTTTATAAATTTTTTTGCCTTTCATGTTTCT